TGAAAAATAATATGAAAATGTCCACTAAGCCGGGAATATTTTTATTCCCAGCGAAATCACAAATACATTAAAATGTCACTTCTGACCGTTACTGTGATGCTGATTGCCAAGATGTCGCATGTGTAGCAAAATGCGTGCAATATACACTGGTGGCCAAAACTAAAGCAACTAAAATCGCAAATACAATAAATGCCCTGTAACTTTTACAAAAATAAACAAATGGTAAATATTTTTCCAGTTTAAAATTAGGTACTTTACTCACTTTTAAAAAACTAAAAACCAGTAAAGAAAGTCTTTATGATACCCTACACCACTTTGCTAATTAAGTAGAGCTCCACATAACAATTAAAAGTTTTTATGGGAGAATTCAATCATACACACTATGATTATAATTATAATTTAAAGTTCAAAGGACTAAATATGCCGAAGCATTTGTATCTTTTATATTCGGAATTGTATTGCCCATTTGGTGCACAATTAATATGAAATCGGATAAAGATATATATGGGAGCTATATCCAAATCTGAACCGATCTCGATAAAATTTGGCAAAGATATTTCTGAGCTGTATTTGATATATTTCCCTGAATATCATTGTTTCGAAGTGCATATTACGGTTGTGGGTAACAAATATAATAAATAGGATGAATAATATATATGGAAGCTATAGCTATATCTGAACCGATCTTCACCAAATTTGACATACTAGCTTCCGGACTCAATTCTGTCGTAAGTGCCGAATTCCATCCCATTTGGATAAATATTAGACGTTTGGTGCACAATAAAAGGTAAATCGGACGAAGTTATATATGGGAACTATATCCAAATCTGAACCGATCTCGATAAAATTTAGCAAATGTATTTCTGAGCTCTATTTGATATATTTCCTTAAATATTGTTGTTACAAGGTGCATATTACGGCTGCGGAGGACAAAAATAGCAAATCGGATGAACAATATATATGGGAGCTATAGCTATATCTGAACCGATTTCGATCAAATTTGGCATACTTATTTTGAGGTCCAACGTTTTTTTTTTTTTTTTTTATTAATATATTTATTAATGCCTTCTATCTTAATTTGATATTTACATTAATTATGAAAATTATCAAAAATTTTTTAATTCATCAGGGTTCACCCAGTGGTTTGCCCTTAAAGTATTACTGGAGTTCTATGATTCATATATAGTATAATAGTTCTTACAAATTTTAGGTATAATTGGCTAGAGTCATTAAATTAAATCTTGAGGGGCCCTTCTTCTCAATCTTGTGAAAGTTTCAGAGCTTGCCATTAAGTTTGCAGCTAAGGGGTTGGGATGTGATTCTATTCTCAGTTTGTAGTTTTGAAGTTGGTGTACTATTTCTTCTTGCACGGTTTTCATGTTCAGTTCCTCGTGTAATCTTTTATTCGTTACGAAGTATGGCGCTCCGGTAATTTTACGCAATGTTTTTGATTGAAACTGTTGCAGTACTTTGATTGTTGTATTGGAAGCAGTTCCCCATAACTGGATACCGTATGTCCAAATGGGCTTTATGATACATTTGTATATTAGTAGTTTGTTTTCGAGACACAGTTTTGAGTTTGAGCCAATTAGAAAATGCATTTTATGAATTTGCAAGTCAAGGGCTTTTCGCTTTGTTTTTATATGTGTGTGCCATTTAAGTTTATTGTCTAGATATAGACCGAGGTATTTAACTTCTTTCTCCTGAGGTAGTGTTATTTGATTCATTTGTACCGGTGGACATATTCCCTGGTTGAGGGTGAATGTTACATGGTTGGACTTTGTTTCATTTGTTTTTATACGCCAACGCTTAAACCATTTACAAAGTATGATCAGATATTTTTGGAGCAAACTGCTGGCCATGTCAGGATTTTTGTGCACTGCAAGAACAGCAGTGTCATCCGCGAAAGTTCCAATAACAGCAGTGTCAGATTGCGGAAGATCTGATGTAAACAGAAGGTATAATATTGGACCCATAACACTACCTTGAGGAACACCAGCTCTTATACACTCAAGGTTGCTGTTTTCGTCAATCTCGTGTACATAGAAGAATCTGTTTTGTATGTAAGATTTTATAAACAAGTAGAAATTGATGGGAAGAAGTTGTTTTGCTTTGTACAGTAAACCGTCATGCCATACTTTATCAAATGCTTGTGATATGTCTAAAAAGGCCGAAGTGCAATATTGCTTTGATTCGTATGCAGCATTTATTGTTTCGACTAGCCTATGAATCTGCTCAATAGTTCCATGACTTTTTCTGAAACCAAATTGGTGTGGTGGAATAAGTTTGTTTGCCTCAATAATAGGTGTTAATCTTTTAAGAAACAGTGATTCTAAAACCTTGGAGAGAATAGGCAATAAACTGATTGGCCGATAAGATTTAACTTGGTCTGCCGGTTTTCCAGGTTTTTGGATCATAGTAATTTGGGCTACTTTCCATTGAGGGGGAATAAAATTGCGTGTTAAACAAGCGTTGAAAATGTACGTGATAAGGTTAATACCATCTTGTGGAAGTTCTTTAAGAACTTTTGGAGTAATTAGGTCATATCCAGGTGCTTTACCAAGTTTTAAGGACTTTATCGCTTCCGAAACTTCATTTTTCGAGAACTTTTTTATGGGTAAGTCGAGTTGGTGTGGCTGATTTAGGTAATTTTAATATAATCAGGTGTTTCTTCAGAGTTATTAGGCGTGAAGACGTCAAATAAGTGTTTTGCAAACACTGTTGCTTTTTCCAAGTTACTTTTTGTCCAGCTGTTATCAAATTTCCTAATTGGATAGCTTGTTTTAGGCTGGTTTTTGATATTTCTGGTTAACTTCCACAGGGAATAGTCTGTACTCATGGTTGTACCCAAATTTCGAATATCTCTTTCAGTGTTCCTTTCGTTTATACTTTTTAACATTTTTTGAAGATCAGATGTGGCTTTATTGAGTATTTTTTTGTCTTCTGGCGATTTAGTTTGTTGCCACCTTTTTCTAGCCTTTCTTTTTTCTGACAGCTTCCTTTCTAATGAAATATTAAAATTTGAGGGTTTGTCAAAGCTGCACTTAGGCGTGGAGTTCCATGATGACATTTGGATGACTTGAATTAGATGTTCAACAGCTACTGTAATTTCTTCGTCGGTTTTTAGGGAAAGCTTTTGATTTATAGTATTGCTGATTTGATAACGAAATAGGTGCCAGTTTGTTTTTTTATTGTGCAGTTTACACATTTGGTTTTGGTTTACATGTTGTGAATGTAGCACTAGAGACACTGGAGAGTGATCAGATGACAAGTCATAGCTAGTTACACATGTTTCTGAGTTTTCTGGAATGCCCTTGGAGACACAAAAATCTATGAGGTCTGGAGATTTATTTAGATCAGTGGGCCAGTAAGTAGGCGAATTGGGAGAAATAGTTCTTAAATTTAGGTCTTTTATAGCCCAAAAGAGTTGTCTTCCTTTTGGTGTTGTGAGGCGTGATCCCCAATGGACGTGTTTTGCGTTATAATCTCCGCAAGCTATAAACTTGTTTCCCAGAGTTTTGAAGTAACTAACGTATACATCTTTTTTTACGTTGTGCCTTGGAGGACTATAAAGTGATGAGACTGTAAGAGGCCCATGTATAGTTTGGACAATAATACTTGTCGCTTGTATTTCAGGTGTGCAGTAATGTCTTCCTTGGTGATGTTTTATTGTGTTTTTTATTAATATGCCTGAACCACCACGCGCCTTCCCAGATGGATGCATGACGTGATAGAAGTTATATTTTGGAATGGATAAATGGTTTTTATCAGTAAAATGTGTCTCAGATATAAGAAATATATCTATATTATTAGTTTGTAAGAAATTTGAAACTTCTAAAGTATGTTGTGATAATCCATTTGCATTCCAGAATATAACTTTTAAAATTTCCATTCTTTAGATGTGGGAAAGTTTTTCAGAGATACTCGTAAGAAGGTTTGACATTTGTTTCATTAGTATATTTAAACCACTCAGCATTTCATGTATTTCTGGAAGTTTATTAGTTGTTGTCTGTTGATTTTGTGGTTGTGTTCCGCTAGGTATTTGATTGTTTTGTATAGCGTTTCTAGCTACACTTGAATACTGGACGTTCTCCCTTCGCTCAGCTGAAGTGGAAGGATGCTGCGGCTCTAATTGCTCATTTATTGTTTTCCTTAGAGAAGGGTAATGGTGAGTATAAATTTGTTTGTAAACAGAGCAACCTTTGTAATTTGCAGGGTGGTTGCCATTACAGAGAGCACACTTAACTTCATTTGCCCAGTGTTTTTTAGGACAAGACCTACTTTCATGGGGTCCTGCACATTTTACACATATCGGTTTTTTTTCGACAGTATGCCTTTGTATGACCATGTTGTTGACAATTAGTACATTGTGGAATAATTTTCTTAGGACGTGGTGGTTCAAATTTAATTATATTTGACATTAGTTTTGTTATTGAGTATATATCCTTATTGTTCGGCTTACTTACCAATACCAGTTCAAATAGAGGAAGAGGCTCTTTTTTGTAACGGCTTTTTATGTTCCATATATTAGTTACTTCATGGCCAAGGCGAGAAAGTTCATTTTTGAGGCATTGAGTGTCTATTGAGGGATGCATGTTTCGCATAATTACTTTAAAACCTCTTTCACACTTTGGTTTGTAGGTGTAAAACTCAGTATTCTTCTGTTCTAATTCGCTGACAATTCTTTTGTATGTTTCATGTGTTTTTGGTTGGATCTTGACCTGCTGCTTACGAAGAGTTTTGATCTCGTACTCATTTGGGACAGTCTCTGACAATAGTGCAATCAGAGGTTGAATATTTGAAACTTTGTCAACGAATATTGGCGGTGGTTTAAAAACCTTTTCAGGGGGGTTTGAAGATGGTAATGGTTCATTTTCACTATCAAGGACAGCAAATTGATTAGTATTTTTTGGGGTTTTACTTAACCAGTAGTTATTCCCGGTTGCTTGTTTTTTCTTATTTTTGCCACTTTGTGGGCTTTCTTGTTTTTTTTTCTTGTGTGTTATTTTTTGCCATTCATTGTCTGGCTTGGCATTCTTGTTTTCATCTTCAACGAAGTTCTGAGTTTGCTTTTCAAAGCGACCTACTTCTTCTTGAAGTTCATCTTCATCCGTTTGATAGGAGTCAGGTTTTTTGTTTAATTGTAGTTTCAAAAATTCTACATCTTTTTTGAGTTGACTGCAAAGTTTCTCATATTTCTCATTCCGTTCAGTAAGTTCGGCATTAGCTTTCTCCAATTGTTGCAATTTATTTAATCGGAAAGAGCCAATGCTGTTGCGTGGGGTTACTTCATAAGGTACTCGATCGGAAACAGGGTGACTCATGTCGATTTCGCTATAGAGGTGTTTATCTTAGACACACACCACATAAGCACGACATTACCGACCCAACACAAATTCCGTACTTTACTTTTGGAAGCAACTCTGTGTTGTAAGGTGTAAAAAAATACAGCTCCACAACCACTATTTTGAAAGAAGCGACCAGCTGATGTTGTAAATTTGATAAACAAATATTCAGCTGACTCCAATATTATTTGTCTCTTTCAAATTAAATTTTGTTTGTTTTGCCAATAAAACAATTTATTGGAAATTTTAAAACTTTGATTTGCGAAACACTCACCGTCGACGATGACTAAACGTGGGTGAAATTGTGTTCCTGAGGAATTACTGCTCCAATACAACAACAATCCGCCAACTATAAATCGCTCTGAACGGTGAAAATTTGAAGGTTTGTTGCAGCAACGATTAACACGTCCGTCTGGTAAGCTACAACAGCAACAGGTCCAACGTGCAAAATTCCATACAATTCGGACTGATATTACACGTTTGGTTCACAATAAAAGGCAAATCGGACGAAGATATATATGGGAGCTATATCTAAATTTTGACCGATTATCTCCAATTTCAATAGGGTTCGTCCTTGGGCCAAACAAATGACCTGTGCAAAATTTCATCTGGATAGGGCAATAAATGCGACCTGTACTTTGTTTACAAAAATACATGGACAGACGGACGGACATACATAAATCAACTCAGAAAGTGATTCTATGCATATCATCAAAAGGAACTATGGGTCTATCTCGTTTCCTTTTGCCTGTTACAAACAAATGCACAAAGACATAATACTCTGACCACCTTGTGGTGTAGGGTATAAAGACGGGAACTTTAGTAAGACCGCTTATAACTCAAGAACGGCTGGACGGATTTTGACAAATGTATTTAACTCAAAATGACCTTTTGGCTAATTAAAATGTTAACATTTATAGCCCTACACGTAAGGGTATTACGTTTTTGTGCATTTGCTTATAACATAGTGAAGAGAGCGAGATAGACCCATAGTTACTTTTGAGGATCTCCATGGAATCCCTCTCTGAGTCGATTTATGCGTGTCAGACCGTCTATCCGTCTTTCCGCCCGTCTGTACTTGTATTTTTGTTACTGTTTTATTATCCGATTGGTATGAAACCTTCAAAACAATATTTGTTTAGCCCAAGGACAAACCCTAATGAAATTGGTGAGAATCGGTTCAAATTTAGATATATCTCCCACATACACCTACAGCCGATTTAATGTTAATTGTGCACCAAATGACTAACATCAGTCCAAATGACTTGAATTTTGGCATTAACCACCTGCTACACAATAAACGTGAAATCGGAATTCAGCCTAGAAACAAAAACTTTAAATTTAGTTAAAATCGTTTCAGATTTCCCAAATATATCTTCGATCGATTTCACGTTAATTGTGCACCAGATGGTTAATATCATATGAGGTTTATTGTAGACCTATGGATAATATCAGTCCAAATGGACTGAATGTTGGCACTTCCGTCAGAAGTCAGCCTTCAGCCAAGTGCTTTAAATTTTGGCAAAAATCGCTTCAGATATAGCTATAGCTCACATATATATGTTTTATCCATGCGAAATATGCACTTCACAACAATGATATTTGATACCGGGTATCAGATAAAGCTCGAAAATAACACTGCCAAGTTCATTGGCATAGATTTTTAAAAAGCTTTGAGATACATTTCACACTGCCAAGTTCATTGGTATAGATTTTTATAAAGCTTCGATATACATTTTCGATATACAAACTGCTGGACAACGAATGTTTTGTCATCAGAGAAAATCCAATTCGGCAGTTCACCACTTTCGGTCAAGCGAAGCAACTCTCTAGCTCTTTTGAGTCAATTTTTTTGGAATTTCAATGGCTTTTCCCGAGCTAATTTTTCAATATTTGTCGAATGGAATATTGCGATACGTTCAGCTTACGAGCCATTTTTCGACCACTGCGACGCGGGTTTCGATCAAGTCGCTTCTTTACTTTTCGAACCATTTCTGCTGATGTTGCTTTTTATTCCGTCCACTTCCTTGACGTCAGGCTACGCTACCAGTATCACGGTAACGGGCGATGGTACGACACACAAAAGATTTATTCATATTTAAGTACTCTAACTATAGCCACATGTGGGTCTCCATTCAAATATAAATAAATTACCATCACGCTTGAATTTTATCACGAATATCTTTTTGCTGGACAATTTTCACCAAAGTGCTTTTGTACGCTTGTAAAAAATATAACGGGCTGTCACTGAAATAATTTTAACAGCTGTCGGACTAGTGGCTTAGAAATGACAGCAGTCTGAAGTTGGTTGCTGTTTTTTCATCTCATCATGTATATAGATGGATGGTAGATGGTTAATATCAGTCCAAATAGAGTGAATTTTGGCACTTTCGTCAGAATTCAGTCAAGAAGTAAGTATATTAAATTTGGTGAAAATTTGTTCAGATATCGCTATGTTTCATCCGATTCAGTGTTTAAGTCCTTCACATTCGCAATATGCACTCCACAAGAATGATATTGGAACCAGATATCAGATATAGATCAAAAATACCTCTGCCAAGTTTTATCAAGATCGATTCAGATTTGAATATAGCTCCTATATATTCTTTTATAACACAATAATCTTTGGCACCAGATACCTCATGAAGCTCAAAAATAACTTCATCAAATTTTATCGAAATCGGATCAGAGTATCCAATATATACCTCATAAAGAGATATTAGGTTTATTGTTAATTGCTAATATTAGCCCAAATGGACTGAATGTTCCTGCTGAATTCAGCCTTGAAGCTAGTGCTTAAAATCTTCGTGAAAATCGGTTTAGATATAGCTATAGCTCCCATATATATGTTTTATCCATGCGTATTATGAACTTCACAACAATGACCGGACATCAGATGTAGCTCGCAAAAACACTACCAAATTTTATAGAGATTGGTACATTTTAATCCAAGTTTACGGTTATTTCTCACAATTGGAATATCAGCCCAAATTGAATATATTTTTTATACATTCAACCGAATTTTACCATTTGGTTAAACTCAGTCCGGAATATCTATTGCTTTAATACTTTTTTTTAATATAATCCTTATTGAAGACATATCATGCACTATACAGCAAGTTATGCGGATCATAGTTGGTATGATCAACTTCACATAAATTCTCAATATAAACTTTTTTGTTACGAGACCTCTACTAAATACGCATAGTTGTTACTGGTTTTTTGTAATATTTTGTGATATTTGTTTCTATTTTTATACCCTATGTGTTGGGGGTATTATAACTTTGATTGGGCCAGAATTTATGTAACACCTCGAAATATTGGTTTCCCATATAGGAAAGTATATATGGATCTTCCTAGCTCGCCGAGCTGAGTCGATCTAGCTATGTATGTCCGTCCGTCCGTCTGTCCGTCTGTCCAAGTTAATTTGTAATCACTCTACAGGTCGCAATTATGGTCCGATCTTCACGAAATTATAGACCAATCGTCGCGGAATTTCGTATGTAGCTGGAGTTTAGGGCGGAGAAGAAGCCTACCAATTAGGGTGGTCATCGGATAATATTTAGCGGGTAAAATAGACCATATATTTTGTGTTGAAAAAATTCAACATTTTTCATTAAACCGTGAATATTTTAAATCCCGGCGAAATCACGAAGCCATGACAAGGTTACTTCTGACATTTACATTGATGTTAACATCCAACAAATCGGATATATAGCAAAATATGTGCGATATATATGTCTATCAAAGAAGATATGCTTGAAAGATATCTTATATGTCGAGAACGGCTGAACTGATTTCGACAGTTCTCATTAATTCAGAATGGCCTCTTGGCTGGAAACAAAAAACGTCTAAAAAAATCGCATAAAAATATCTCTCTAAAGATGAAAATTTTGATTTTGTAACATTTTCTCATATTTTTTTATTTTGTCATATTTTTGGCATATTTTCATTTTGAATTAAACATTTTGTAATATTTCTACAGCTAACAAAACTAAGTAGTTAGGATATCAGGATATCATGTACAGATCGCATTTATGGCCCGATATTTACGAAATTTTGCATGGGTATAAGATGAGGGTCAGAATAGAAGCCTACTCTTTTTGGAGATGATCGCAATATATTTAGGGGTTAAATGGTCCAAAAAACTGCAAAATTGTCAGCAGGTCGTAATTATCGCCCGATCCTCACGCACAGTTTAATGGGGGTTACCGGACATCGCAAAAGCCAAGCAGTTTTGGATGGCCATCCAAAAATATTCAATGTGTGAAATAGTTTGCCAACTTTTGTAGACAAAATACGTAAATGTCCATTCCAGTGACTTTTTGGAGAATTCACAAATACAGGAAAGACGCACTTCTGACTATTTCGTTAACGCTGATTTAGTTGAAGAATATAGTCAAATGGATGTATCTCATATAGATGCGTTTCAGTCAAAAACCAATAATATATGTTAATCTTTTGCCACTTCTGAGAGATTATAGGTATTTGGGAAATATTTGTTCTAGATCTAGGAAGACCATTTACGTGCAACATCTACCAATAAATTGGAAATGAGCAAATTAGTTTAAGTTGCTATTATTCGAAAATTAGAGAACGAAACCTGATGGTTTTCTTTAATTATTTGTCACAATTTCTTGTGGAATTCTGTCGAGTATTTTGTCCCTATAAACAGTATCGTTTATTATAGTGTTGTAGGGTATTCAACGGTCGGCCCCGCTCGACTGTAGCCTTTGCTTACTTGTTTTGGTCATGTTTTTTATCACCTGAGATTTATTAATTGCTAAAAAATATAGACTCGTCCACGATAGCATAGCTAATGATTTTTGGACAAACGCTTTCTAAAATTGACCAAGTTTCCAGGCCCATACTATGATACAGAGTTATGTCTTGGTGGACCTTGTCTCTATCAATGACATCGTTCTTATGGGAAACATTAATAATATTGATAGAAAAACAAGTAAGATAAAGCAAGGTTGACACTAATATTTTTCACACAAAAGGTTTGGTCTATTTCTCAAGCCTTACATTGCCCGGTCTAATAAAAATCACCGTTTCGACCGACGACATCTCTATTCAAAACTTAAGGTACGTAAAAAATTGATTTCGCTCTTCACTTATCCATGTGTTAGTGCCAGTTTTTGTAGCTTTGTAGCTGATTTTTCATTCTATCGCGTATTTCGTTGTTTTTTGCAGCACTGAGTTTTCTTGCTTCTCGAATGTCGAAGAAGAAGAACTAAAAACAACAACAGCAAGGTGCCACAAAAAAGTGAAAATTCAATTTAAATTGATGCTAGGCAAAACCGCACAAATCGAGTAAAAACGTCTACGAAAAAGACGGAAAATCTCCATTTAACGGTGTCTGAATTGCATGTAAAGTATGGAGTTCCATGAAGCCATGCCGTGAAACAAAAA